TCGTGGTATTCCACTCGCTTTTGAATTTGTAGCTATTACTCATGATAAATATTGAAAATGGGTTGGATTTTAGAAGTCAAAAAACGATAAAAAAAATGTCAGTAACATATAATAACTATGATGATCTGCGCATATAAGCAGTAATTTTCCTGATATACCTCATGAAAAAACTTTTCATTGGATGTATCGTCTTCCTCAAAAGCAAGTAGCCTCTTCACAGCAACTTTCTTTCTTATTTTTGGCCAATATGCAACGGAGATACTTCCAAACTTACCACAATCAATCTTAGTCAGACCTTCTAGTTCAACATATGGGATGGATTTTATAAGTTTGTAATGGAAGGCATCATTTAGCATAAACTTGCTGTTTTCTGCCATTAATGTTGAAAAATGTTACAAATTCAAAATAAAAAGATACCAGCATCTCTATCACTATGTAACCGTTGTATGTGAAATTGCAGTTTGGGATTATACCACAAATGGATGTGTAGTAATTCCGCCTTATACATATGGTATCAGAATTTTCTAGGGTTTTTCTATAAAAATTTTCTAACACATGAAAAATAATAATTAATTTCATTTTTTTGAACACAGATTTTTTATTTTTATCTTTATAATAAATATATAGTTGGCAAAAGAAACTTAAATAATTTTTCAAAACAAAAAAAAATTGTGCTTATATTTTTATTAATTCTGCAATTATTAAAGTTGTAATGCAGTAGTATAATATTATATAATCATTGACATTAAATTCAAAAATTTTTTTTTACTTGTCTAAACTTACCTTCATCAGGAAGCTTTTGAGCTTAAAGGATCCTAGAGGATTCCCCCAAATTTTTATTAGTAGGGATCCTTCGCCACCCGCAAATATTTGCTGAGGACCCCTGAAAAAATATCCCGATTTACTATTAGGGATTCCTTCTGTATTATATGGAATTTTTATTTCAATTAAAATGAACCACATTAAAAATCAATATGCGATGATACAAATTTGTCAAATTTATATTACTAATAGCAATAAAGTTTATTATTATTATTATGAGTTCTCAATATTACAGTCATCAAATAGATCATTATAAATTTTATATCACTATTCTCATTGTCCTTTTTTTTACATATCTTCAAATTCTGATTCATTACCATCTGAATCTGTAACATAACCTCTAACAAGTTCTTTTTGTCTAATATATTTGGTAATATCTACAGTTATCATTTGTGAATTATTTATACAATCCTATAGTAATAATATATATACAATATACAGTATATTAAAAACAGATTTTTGGGATTGGTGAAAGTGCTAGTGCTCAATGAATAATTAAGTGAGAATATATTAAAAACATTCACTGTAACTTACGTTGGTTATGTTGATCATTCTTTAATGATTTGTGACCAATTCCACCATGCTTGTTAACTCTGTATATTAATACATATTTTTATATTGCGTATTTTATTTGTATTAGTAACTGTTCTTCTATATAGTACTTTACTATCCCGTGATTTCTGCGCTGCCCGGGGCGTCACGCCACACATTTAATGGTTTTCCGCAGATAACTAGTTCCACCCAAATTATATGTACATATTACATTGTTTTTCTTTCC